AACTTTTCAGAGTACAGAAATTATGAGAATAGTTCTATGCCATCTTTCAAAATCATTTGAGCATGTTCACCATTCTATCTTGTGAAGAATTTGCAGAGTTATGAAATAATGCTCCGTCGATAAGGATTGTGTAAAGTTTGCTTTCAAGGCGGCTGTACATCCTTATTTTAGAGGCAAGTAATTCGCGGACGATTCTACCCTTTGCTCAAGGAACAAATCTTCAAGTGATGGAGATGTCTGGTGATCCAAAAAATGAATAAAACACACAAATAACGAATATTATTGTAAGGTTTTTTCCAAATTTTGTATTTTTTAAAACCTGATCTTAAATAAGTATTTAGAGCGCAACCCAACGAAGAAAATGTTACAAAAAAAATAATACAACTTTACCACTCTTAGGAGAAACTTCGCAAACTTTCATTGCAGAAGCTGACACAGCGTTTTATCGCCGGCAAACGTGATAGAATGAGCAAATGAGAATGGGAAAAAAAAAAATATATATATATATATATATATATATATATATATATATATATATATATATATATATATATATATATATATATATATATATATATATATATATATATATATATATATATATATATATATATATATATATATATATATATATATATATATATATATATATATATATATATATATATATATATATATATATATATATATATATATATATATATATATATATATATATATATATATATATATATATATATATATATATATATATATATATATATATATATATATATATATATATATATATATATATATATATATATATATATATATATATATATATATATATATATATATATATATATATATATATATATATATATATATATATATATATATATATATATATATATATATATATATATATATATATATATATATATATATATATATATATATATATATATATATATATATATATATATATATATATATATATATATATATATATATATATATATATATATATATATATATATATATATATATACATATATATACATATATATATATATATATATATATATATATATATATATATATATAATACACACGAAGAAACGAAACTTTAAAGGTCAAAGATCTTTTGGAGCAAGATTTCTCCCAGCACGCTACTGCTAGTGATCCCCTAAAGCGGGGGAGCTTAAGAGGAAAAACGTCTTCGATCCTGCGACTAAAAACGGGGTGGCGATAGGTTCACGATAAGGGAGGGTTGTATGCTGCAATTTCTGTGTTTGCTGACAAAATCAACGACCGGACCGAGAAAATGCGATAAAGATTGGTGCTTCTGAATATAAATCGGCGCCATTGGCGAATACCTGGGGTTATTACTTTGATTAAATAACGGAAATGTTGGACAGTAAAAGCATTCAGACAAAAACGGCCAGTCAATTTCCAACACCTTTCGGGGTTCGTTTAATAGAATTATGCGACAAGCGTGTTTGAATTTAAATAAATGACCCAAGCACTATAAGGTCTTAAAGACATACATGCACACCTTATATTACCTACAAACGGTGTTTTGAGGACTACACAACTCGAATTTCAAATATTTGGTGGATATTGAATTCAAAATATGGCCCTCCTATATTGAACCTTTATTGATTCACAACCGAAGAACTAATTAAAAAGTAGTTCTTTGTAAGTCACTAGGTAGGATTCGCGTTGAACTTTTTTGTAGTAGCGGGTACCGAAATAGAATTTTGTTATTCGACAATTTGGTAATTTGGTAGTTTTTGTTTTCTTAGTAAGGTGATTTGCATTTTAAATCATTAAATAAATAATACGCAGTAATTATTTTTCACTATTTATTTCTGAAAAATTGTTAGGATTATCGGGGCTCGATTCAGCGGTAACAAATTAAGATTAAGATTTAATGGCCAAAATTGAGAAAAATATATTCCTTCCAAAATAATAATTAAGGTTACTAAATTTATATAACTTTATACACACCACTTATTTGTTATATATTTTTAGGTCCCCGCGCATTATCTTCGACTCCAATCTGCACTCACGCCATCTCGCGATCAGTATCGAATGTTCGAGTTGTCTCTGTGTTCAGGCGTTTGTTTCCAAGTTTTTTTTTACTGTACCGGTTGCTTGCCACAATATATCTTCCTTCATGGTCACATGTTTTTCGAGATTTTTCCAATCATTTTTTTTTGTAATGTGGAAATGAAATGCTTACAGTAATTTGCCATTCGTAATCAATTTACAAAATTAGTAGCACGGTCGGCAACTGCGTCAATTTCGACCAAGTTTTTTGGCCAGAGGGAGGCATGATTGATGTATTGAAAATTTGTTGATGCGTAGGAAAGACTTCGAGCTTCGAAAATATCCAAATTTAGCTAAAACGGTGGGCTCAATCTTCTAGTCCTCCGCTTTTCCTTGCGCGGCGCAGAATCTTTACAGTCCTCGGAATATATATTTTTTTATTTTTGATAAAAAAAATTATTCATTAATTAAATATTTCCTTACCTGATGAACATATTTAGTGAAGTGGAGTTGTTGATCATTACAGAAGGACCTATGAAAATAATTAAATTTTATGTTGTATGTTTACTATACTCATTGTAGTGAACTGAAACATCCTAATGGACTATATTCTCATAATTTATATAATGCTATCCTAGTTCCCAGGGTGATTGTGAAGAGAAAATTTCCCCTAATTTTGAACGCAATCGTAGTCGAAATTCGGGTCGCAAAAATAGAGAAAAACAAAAATGAGTGAAGAGTATTAAACTTTTAAAGGACTTTGGAAGGCTTTAAAATGCCTAGAGAGGTGACACAAGTGAACCATTAAATTGTTTAGTCGAGTAAAACGTTCGGAGACCAAGATTATTCTTTTCTGACTTCGAGGAGAACAGTTTATTCGAGCGGGCCTCGTGAAATAAATCCAATAAAAGTTTTCAATTTTGCCAACTTTTGAAATATTTTATATTCCCTCTAATTCGAAATTTTGGAAGCAAAATGCGCGACTCATGGGAACTGTCTGTCTATCTCTTAATCGTTTATCATTGTTTTGTGAAAATACGACACTTGCCTATCGGCTTATGGTTCCCTTGTAATTATCGAAATTGGAATTTCACGTTTGATGTTTTTAAACAAAATATATATAAAGAAGATTGGAAGCCGACGAGACAAACAACAATAAGAAATTGGTAAACATGAATTTTATATGCGCTTCGGCATTTCACTTTTATCAACCAAAATATTCTATCGCTATCAAAATGATATATATTTTTTTAAGTACAGTACATTTAAATTTTGTGGGCCATTTTGCAGAAAATATAAATATCTTCACAAGAAAATAATATTATCATCTCTTAATTTACATTTTTATAAATATTTTACCATTCCTCGACAAACAATCGGTCTATATTTATCAGCTATGCCGCCGAGTAAAAGTTATTTAATGAAAGCAAAAACTGTAGAAGGATTTGATTTGATCCACGTGAAAGTAATGAGTCCATAAATGGTGGGATGACGGGAAATATTTCACTAAAGCATGCTGTAGCAAGTTGGGTGAACTTTCGAAAATAACATTCCAATCAATGTAGTAAATATTGAAGATCAGTAACACTATACATCGAAACAAATACACATGTTATATCGAAAGTGAACAAGTATCTATTGTGTGCAATAAAGTTTAATATGCGAACTTGCATAAGCTTGAATAATTTCCGCGTACACCTCCATCAACCGTCTAGAACAATCTTATCTCACGCGTCTTGATGCAAACTTTGGAAACTAGGAATAAATTCTTATAAATACCACAAGTCTGCAATCGGTTAAGTTCGTTTGTCGTTTTTTGTTAATTCATAGTTTATATTCGTTTAATATTTTGTGAAACATTTTTCTTTAACTGCAGCAAGCTTCATAAAAGAAAGTTTAGTCACTAGTTTTTATTAACGAGTTTTGAAGAAGTCTATCAAGAGACAAGACATGGAAATATTCTCAAGCCCACGAGAACGATGTTGCATACCATTCGATCAGCGAAGGACAAGAGAAGCCCACTTTCAGCCGCAAGTGTGTATAGCACACCGTGTTTTCAGGCAAAGCCCATGTTGGAACTACCAAAAGATCGATGGGAACGAAGATCAAGGAGCATAAAGCAAGCTATCGGTTTGGACCACAGGATATACTTTGGAAACTGTAAGTTGCTAGCATCAGTCAAGGGTTATCACAACAGTCTAGTAAGGGAAATATGCGGAAAATTTTAACAATAAAGAGGTCAACTCGATTCGGAATCCGATATCTCGCAATGCCCGAGTTTTGTTGGATAAAGCGGAACCTATCTATCGGTAGAAATACAACCTGCGAGTGAGAATGATTTGTCGGTCTACGTTCAACATCGGAGATGAAACGATCTCTGAAGAAGCTTGCCCCTAATGCTGGGGAAACGTTAGGAAGCAATACCGACGACGGCCTTTAGACACGAATCAGGACAACAGTTCATCAAATCGACGCCATAACCTTAACCAATTTATCAATATGTTGCATGTGCTTAGTGTTAGTTGTCATTGCGGCTGCCGCCTTAGGTTTATGTCTACATTATATTAGAGCAGTAGAGGTATCCGGTTCTCCGCATGCCTGCTGCCACCCCCCCGCATGCCTGCTGCCACCCCCATTGTAATCCATTTTTCTAGAGTATTATTAGTATCATCATTAAAACGTATATTGTTTTATGTAGTTGTCACAATAGATGAGTATTTTGTTCATTGAAATATTATACAGCAAAGTATTATTATCATCTTCAGCAAGTTTTCCGAATACTTTTTCAAGTTTCAAAACTAAATTACTAGCACGGTCTCAGCGACTGCAGTGGACTACATCCAATAACGCCAGTAACCGCGTCGAACGAAGTAAAAATCAATTGCGTCCGAAAAGTTTATTTTTATTAGCACCGATGAAAACGGCAGCGTACGTTTTATAAACAAACAATTTTCTGATTACAGGTCGGCACGTCCGAAACATTGAATCGAACGGAATATCAGTTTTGAACGGGGCAGATCTTAATCAAGGTGAGTTTAAGCAGCCGAAATAATAGTAATAATCGTTAGGCACATTTGTTCTCCGAACCTTAATTTCACTTTGTGCTTTCGTTGTATGGTATGCCATATCATTAAGGGTTTATCGAATATAAATGGTGGCCATTTCATATTAAAATGTAATTTGCGGTAGGATTGCTTATCGTTTTTTTTTTGTTGATTAAATGAGCTTCGTATTCGGGTTTACTCATATCTATGCAATAACGACGTAAGTTTTTTTTACGATAATTGACCCAGCCTTTATTAACGCTTACACACTGCTGAATCTATATTATAAACGTGCATAAAAAGACTATTCGTGATCTCGTTCATCAGAACACTCAAATGTTGGCATGGAAACAATTATCCTTTGCTGGTTATTTTTGGAGATAGGAGGAAAACAAAAAGTGGTGCAGGATTGATACAATAACCAGTGTAGAACCACAACTAGACCAAAACCTTCCTAGATGCGTATTTTATTAACTACCAAGTTAACGTAATCGACATTTCATAAAAATTTGTAAATTATTATTTGTTTATATCATCCGCTGATGATGCTTACTTGATTGTTATCAAAACGCGGATCTGCAATGCTGTATTATAATTGTAGCGTAATTGTTATTAAGTTATTCCATTCATTTTTTTATTGCTTGTGCGGTTATGAAAACACCGTTAATTTTTTAAGTCGACTATATTGATTTAAACTATGCCTTTGCCGTATTGTTCTTTTAATATTCTTTAACAGAGTCGCCGACTCGTTCGCTAAGTTTGGTACCGTAAAGGGGAAAAAGTGCCAGGTCCGCACTCGCGCACCTTTATAGTCCATCAAATGCCGGTTCTGCAATATTATCTCTGTTGACCTTATTATGCTTGTACAGGGCGGTCCAAATTCGAGGGGCCTCTATGGCTTTAAGTATTTGCTGCATAGTTAGCCCAAAACTAGTCTGCATATTACGGGCTCGATTTTCGAGAGAAGTCAAAAACTGAAAATCGCATATGTCAAGGCATTTTTGAGATTTTTATTGAAAACATTTTTTGAAGATTTTTTTAAGGGCTAGCTGTTTCACCGATTTTGTCTTAAAGTTTACGAGATATAACACAATGTTACATTTTTTTAAATGGAAAAAATATTAATTTTCTAATAAAATTTCCTGTCAAACGATGTGTCATACAACTATTTTTATTAAGTAGTTAAAAAGCTATCTGCAATTTTTAATAATTACCATAGTAGGCTGTGCTTAACTCTGACCTATGCAGTTTTATGGTATCTATCTAGGTTGCTATGATACGATAGAAACAATTGCCATGATACACACCCCCAAGTGTCAAAAGTGACGTCTTCGTCTAGCTATAAAAATGTTTGAAAACTTTGAAAAGTACAACATGATAAAATGTTATATTGAAAGTAACGAAAATCGACAGACGGCGTTAAATCTATATTTCCATAGATATCCGGCAAGAAGGCAACCTAGCTCAAAAATATTTTTAGTTAAAACGTCATCTACAAAACGGCGGCCTAGGAAGCCTAGCCAGAGATAGAGAGTTGGGAGAACTAACGATTCTGGGAGAAAAAGATATTAACCCCAATAATTCCACTAGGGCTATGGAGAGAAACACTGGAATTCCACTCAGTAATGCCGTACTTAAAAAACACCCCGATGGTTGCATCAATTAGGGCAACGAGATTTTGCTCCAAGACAAGCACTTTGCAGGTGGTACCTAAATAAATCCCCGATTTTGCCAGGAAAGTTATTTGTACTGATGAAGCAACGATTTCTAGTGATGGAATATTCACCAGGTATAACTGCTATTACTGAAAACAACAAAATCCTCATATTATGGTGGAACAAGCGAATCAAGGAAGGTTTAGTTTTAAGATATGGGTAGGCATCTACAGAGGACAAATAATTGGGCCATATATTTTTGAAGATACCAACAAATTCTAGAAGAGCAGGTAATTCCGTTTATCGATAATTTGCCACTTCAGCAAAATAATGATCTATAGTTTAAACGGTGCACCTCCTCACAATGCACGAGACATTACTAATTTGCTAAATAATGTGTTTGCCGAAAACCCGGATCGGAAATAAAGGTCCTATATATTGGTCCCCCAGGTCTCCAGACCTGACCCCTTGAGACTTCTTTTTGTGGGGAGAATCAAAGACCTTGTATTTCAAAATCGTCCAACTACTACAAGGGAATTGGAAGAGGCACTTCGTACTGCATTCAGGCAGCTTCGTGCGGTAGAACTTCTTAATGCAGAAATTAGCGTCACGAGAAGGTGTAGGATATAAGCATTTGTTTTAGAATTAAAGAAACTTGCTAGATGTAGATTTTATGTGTTACATAGTTTAATTAATAAAAATTTTAAATAAAAAATTGCCCTTAATAATTTTATTTCCGTTTATTATTTTAGGGTTTGGTAATTATTGTAAACTAGAAGTTAAAGTGCGAGGTTGCTGTGTCCCCTCGTATCGTAGTCAACTTGATTTTGTATGAAAAAAAAAACAATAAAATATTATTTCCACATTTAGGGTGCGCAGTGCTTACTATGGTAAATATCAAAAATTGAAAATATCTTTTAAACTAATTAAAAAAAATAATTTTGTGGCACATTGTTTGACAGGAACTTTTATTACAAAATTGAGTTTTTAGAAAAATAGAGAGTATCCGATTTAAAGAAATACAACTTTCTGTGATAGTTTGGGAACCAAAGGCTCTAAGACAAAACGAGTAAAATAGAGAGATTCCGGCTTAAAAAAAAACTTAAAAAAATGTTTGCGATGCGGTTTTCAGGTTTTGACTTCTCTCGAAAATCGAGCCCATAACATTAATATTAGTTTTGGGCTACCTATGCTGCAAATGCTTAAAACCGTAGAGGCCCCTCGAATTTGGACCACCCGGTACATAAATTGCATCAGTACATATATGTATATAGGAAATTATTTATATATTATTCTTAAGTTATCAAATTAAAATTGGCAGATTTATGGCGTCTTTAGTTAAAATAGAAAATGACATATTTGCTCTGTACTGTCACGCCGTAGTAGTACTAATGTGATGAATACATAAATATTGGAAATATTCAAATATGCTTCATTAGCACGCCGGTGAAGTGTAGTGAAGTAGAATTAGATATTGTACACAGTTACTCTATGAGAGATAGACCGAGTCGGTTGTCTACAGACAGTTTGAAGAGTGTTGGAGGGGCCATCAATTGGGGGTCTTTGTAAATATACAATACATCCTACATAATGGGCTTTCTTTCTAGCACGGGGTGTCCCGTTTTTTATACCTTATTCCAGAATCTGTAAAAAATATCGAAAAAAATAAAAAATAAAACTTGTTTGAATTCATTTATAATTTTCGTTGATTAGGCATATTAAGGCAGTTTCTAATTGTTCGAAAGTTTCTAAATACATTTCGTAAACAATAACATAACTAAGTCTTCTGTTTGCTACACATTTTGAATTCTATGTCAACTGTGACGTTTGCTATTGATTTGTCGAAGTGAAAGCTCTGGGATTTCTTTACCTAAGGAATCGCCATTTTTTAAAATAATTTTAAGATTTTTCAATATTAGTAATAAATCATTTTTTCATTGTTAGAATGCCAAACGGCTTTTAATTTGCCAAAAAGGTAACTGCCAAACATTGTAGAAAAAAAGCAAGCAAGCATTTAGGTAATGGCACGTGGGTGATTCTGTTTTAACTATGATTTTTTATGTCTTGTATTGTTTGTTCTCACTGATGATTAATTAATAATCTAACAATGCAATTTTCATATTTCTTTATAATTTTTATATAATATAATTTGTTATTGCGAGAGAACCTACAATATATCAGCTAAATGTCAATGTCATGCCCATCTCTAAAATTTATGTGTAAATTCTTTTTTTTTTTTTCAATTTGATTTCAATTAACTTCATAAATTCTTATTTCTATGATCATTAATATTCTAGTTTAACACTGAATTTCGGTTCAATAACTTTTGGCTTTAAAATGTAACGAATTTTTGAATTTCAATTTAGCTTGAGATTTATGAAAAGTCTCGTCATAAATGTCTAGTCAGATTGTCAAAAATTGATTTACAAATTTACAGTGTTAAATTTTTACTGTGAATTTTTCGAAATTATAACTTTTTGAAATAATCTTTCAAGTAACCTTATACAAAGTTTAAATTCGAAAAAAAAATACTACAAGAGTTTTTCATTCAAAATTTTTGATGTGTTTATTTTCAAAATATCAACACGAACAATTAAAGTAGGTCCCCTTCTACAATATCCAATATATGTCAGAAGAAGACTTATTATATTTTAAAAACTGCATGCGTACTAATATTTTTATTTTTAAACTATAAATGAATTCAAACAATTTTTGTTCCAAAGATATTTAGATAATTTTAACAAATGCTGACGAAAGATACCATCGGATAAAAAACGGTAAACCAAATTCAATTCTTTGTACAACTAACTTGATATAATAAAAGCGCATCGAACATTATTACACCGGCGTTCACCAAGGCAATGTTGAGAACGTTTAGAAGAAAAATCATATAGGTACTAGAGATATAGATGCCCTGACTATGCTGATAACACACAAACTTATGAAGCAACTATGAAAAAAAATGCACATGCACGAGATTTTAAATCTCGTTTTGAACCAGGACAACCACCAAGGTCGCTGACAGATCGTCAATAAGTTTGGATGCGGCATTTTATATGTCTCGTTAAATGTTCTGTTAAAACTAGTTAAGTATGTGGAAATGGCTGCTTAAAAATAAAATGGCGCAAAGTGCAGGTTAATAGGTGAAATGTAGAGGCATGCGCGGGAAATCCTTACCTTCTCTCGGCGCATCAATTTTTACCGTAGTAGGTTCACTATACTATCTAATATGAGTACAACTAATAAAACGTTGTGGTAGTTATGTTTGGCAATTCATTGTTGCATCTATGCTGCACCACAGGTTTCAGTTTTCAGGTATCAAATATTTTAATGTCGGTTCAATATGGACAAAGCTTCGTCATAAAACCGACTTGGAATTTGCCTCGTTGAATTAAATAAATAGGCCGGCAAAATGTTGCAGAACTCCGCAACAATTGCCGTTCCCTTTACCGGTTTCACGATCGACTCGATTATCATCTTAAAATAGACTGCAAACAGAGACGATGCTTTGTCGAGATACCGAACGGAGCCAGCTTCACGTAATTGATAATAATAGGAACGAGAGTTTAATTCGTGCAACAACTATTACACCAAATATTTTACAAACGGAAGAGTATATCCGCCTCTGCGTTGCAATTTAAACGACGAGATTAAAAATCGGGAACTTTCGTTTGGATAATTAATGTACACCAATGGGAATTTAGGCGACTCGGTAAAAATTTCACTTTTTAATTTGAATTCTGATGTGTAACGGTCCTCGCCCACATTTCCCAATTCGGATGACGTTATTTGAAATGACATAGGTTAAAAAACAATCCTCCTCCGGCAAAACGAAACGTAAACCAGATTTAGGGGATGATGCTTCGTTTTATTCAATTGTGTTCGTTGTTATTGTCAAGTTTTCGTATAATATTTTATCAGTTAGGCCGAGATCTTTTTTCAGAGTTGAGTCGCATTATATATCATGTTAATATTACCGAATAATATAGAAGTTTATATATATATATATATATATATATATATATATATATATATATATATATATATATATATATATATATATATATATATATATATATATATATATATATATATATATATATATATATATATATATATATATATATATATATATATATACATGATATAAAAAAAATTATCGTCTCCAATATGTAATTTTAATATTAATGCTTAATTTCAATATCTATTATTCTAGTATTTACTTTTTCCGGAAAATTTCTGAAAATTTTAAAGTTTAGAAAAGACCAAGACACCTAGAGTTGGAATATAAGGTTGAAAATTACGAAGTTTTGTCCCAAATAGTTTCTGAAGGAGACAGATAGGAAGCTACAATTATTTTAAACAAATTATATTTTAATTCACTTAACCCCTTTCAGACAAATTTAGCGTTGCTTTTAGACAAGAATTCAGTTATTTAACCGCCATGACAATAAATCTTTAAAACTTTTAAAAAATCACACAAATAATATATTGCGTAGAAGTTAGGGGCCAAATTACAAAAGTACCGGTGTTTAGTCCAAAAAATAATCTTTTTTCAACTAGAATTCTGTATATCATTTGTATTTCTATGTTTTGAATTCCATTAAGAAACGAATTTCCTATGATAACCAACTTAAGCTCACTTTTGCTATAAACAAATTTTGTTTAAAAGATCTCTTATAACTAACTGCTCAGGTAAGGTGCACAACCCTAATGCGCGTATTAGGTGGTATTTCACTAATACTAGATTAATGTTATATTATTTAGTCTTAGTCTTTCTAATATAAGGTGTGACATAATGAACTTAACCATAAATGAAATAAAATAAGACTTGTATCTAAGAAAGAGCTAAGCGGCCAGATAGTTACTCTGAACTAAAGCAGTACATTACCATATGGTAATGTAGTAGAGCGAGTCCTTTACCTATTATACACCAGCAATATTCCTGAGTTAGGACAAAACATGATAGCCACCTTCATCGACGACACTGCTATAATGGCTGTAGGCAAAAATCACGGCGAAGCTGATGTCAATTAACAAAATTTATAACTGGACTATGCAATGGCGAATCAAGTTATATGTGGCTAAATAAATAATATCCAAGTGCCACATGCCAATAGGGCAAAATACTTGGGTATGACACCATGGTACTGCAAGAACAGTGACTTCCATAGAGGCCTTAAACTGTAAATAAATTCGCTAAGAGTCATGAACAAGGACTGTCTATCATGAGGTAGCCATCCAGCTCATCCACCATACACAACAGAACAGAAGAACTCAAGAGGATTAAATCTTTCGATTTTGTGTAATTGTGTGAGTGCTAAAGCAGAAAGTAATGTACACAATTATAAGTCCTTAGATATTGATCTATTCTAGTTCAAATTCAAAGGTTATTAATGCCATCACGGATGATTATTTTTCAAAAATCTTTCCAACCAAAGGCAGATAATTTAAGACTGGACTTTGGCTCATTAAAGTATTAATAAAACTACAGTCGAACTATTAAACATTTTCACGATTTTAACTGCTTAATAACAAAAGTTATCAGCAGACTCATCGAAAATGATCAAAATACGATGCAGCAGTTATAAGCGACATGCACGACTGATTGCTGACTGCAGAAATCGCTTCAAAAGTTTCCCGCGCCATTGCAATTATAAATGCTTAGAAGGAAGATAAAAGATTTCTGGAGCTTAGACCGGTCTATTTTCCTTTGATTAAAGGTTAACAAGTTTACACAACGAAGTGTAGGCACTTTATTGATTTACTTCCGGAACTCGTAGAAATCGTTAACTATATTGTGAAATAGAACGTTTAGGTTGCTTTAACCAGAAACTTTAAACGGTTTTCTCAGTTTATGAAAGTTTTTGTTCCTTATAATTGATTTTCCCGTAGGAACTAACTCCCGGTTTAATGTTATTATTTGCTGTTTGCAGTTCTAGTTTTTTAATGTCCGCTTGCTTTCTGCCTTACAAAGGGTCGTAGCATGGCAAGGTAACCAAATATAGCCTAGTGTTTGTCGTCCTAGTCATTTAAGTTTTGGTTAGTTATGGTTAGCTTTGGCCATATTAGAATTATATGGAAAATAAAATACTGAAAAGAATAATTTTGCGGGATATGTTCATTATGCAGCACATTTTGCTCATAACGATTTCTATACTTGTTCAATTTCTATACTTGCAATGGGCAATTGCTACTACAGAATAAAAGAAAAGCAATTTATAGCTTTTTGTGTTTACAAAAAAATTATCTAGTTATAATATAGAAGATCAAGTCAACCCTGAGATTTATGGGGAAATGTATTTCATTGTCTCATTTTTTCCGGCCTCTCTAGTAAACCATGCAAAAATAATGAATAAAAATTGCGGCAGCAAGCGCAGCTTAATTTATATTAGGCAACGTGGGCATTTAGTTTTCTAGGACTATAAATTATTGTAATTGGAAAATATTGCACTTGCGCTGTATTATATAAAATGATTTCTAGATTACGATCTGAATAGATTGTGCGCATTACCAAAAATTATTTATTTTATGGATTTTTATGGAAAATGGAATTAATAAATAATGAACTTTTTCTATTTCCTTCTGTAAAATAACTAATTAGACACGGAGAATTTCTTTTCCCACTCATCCAAGCCCCTTCGGACATTTACGGAGTATTACCGTACGGATTTGGGAGCAATCGGATGTTTTCGGAGATATAATCCAATGGCTTGAATTTTGACGTTTGTCAATTCTGACTGTCATGTCAGTCAATGTATTCGTGTTATGTGGCAAAAATGTACCCAAAAACTAACCGTCGTAGAAAAATTATAGTATGCAACATGTTTGGTAAACTTACATGACTCTAAAATAAGGATGTACAGCCGCCTTGAAAGCAAACTCTACACAATCCTTATCGACAGAGCATTATTTCATACCTCTGCAAATTCTTCACAAGATAGAATGGCGAACATGCTCAAATCTAGATCCACATTGTCTTGTTTCTTCATAATGAAAGGACCATGGGTGAAGCCGTCAATGAATTCACGTGCTCTGATATAGCCTCTCATTGCTTGCGTATATGTTAAATGCCTGTATTTGCTTATGGTAAAAGGCTGTTTTTTCTCAACATCTTTGGCAGTCTTTTTAAAGTATTGAGGCCACCAGCCTTTGAAATCAAGTATGTCGGTATTTGTTAGCCGTTTTACTTGGAATTTTACTTGGAATTTTTCTTCTAGGAAGATGTAATGATATCGTTGTATTGTTCTGGAAAGTAAATTCGGTCAAACTTTCTTAAATGGCGCTTGATAACAGAAAAGTTTCTATCGGAATGCAAAAAACTATGACCTCGAATGGGAAAATATTAATGGATAACTTCAAATCTGCCATTCATGGTCAGGGCGTCAGGGCATTAAACAACCTGGTTAGAGTATGGTTGCGGTTTTGCCCAGCGCACGCATCACTAAAAACATGAAGGGTTCTGACTTCTTCAGGAATATGTTGCGTGATAATGTCCAGAATGGATGTACTGACTTCATTAAGGCCTTGCTGAGCATTTCCCTCTGTATGAGTATAGAAGACCGATACATCGTTGCCAAGGCTGTGAACGTTAAAAACATAATATCAAAGTTTTCGCAGATAGAACATTTCCTGAACTAGCATGAATGGAAGGGGAAGATTTTGCATATAATCAAACACTATGACTCGAACGACATTCCTCCCTTTACAGGTCTCCTTGATTTCTTGAAGTTTTTTGTAAAATTTGGATGCTCATATTTTATGAATCATAAGCTCTGCAGCCGTGCTGTTTCATTCAGAGTAGTCGACTTTATTTTTGCATTCAAGTCTTCACAAGTCGAGCAAACGTCGACTTGAGGCCTACCAAACCGGTATCCGCAGTTTTCCTGAAAATGTCTCAAATAATATTCATACTTGACGTGAGTTCTCAAATCAAGATTTTTATTAGTGAAGAGCTCTTACATCTTAGTGATGTTCAAACTTGCATCTAAGTAGGTAATTAACTTAGAAGAATAATGAGACTCTTTTTTTGGAAATGATTTGCATGCCTTCCTCTCATGTTAAATGATGAAGTTTCAGTTCCAGCTTGGTTAAACGTTGTACGACTTTATTCGAGAGACCATGCAAACTCATGTATGCACTGCGGCAAACTTCAACCCTGCACGTACCTTTGATTGCACAATATTTGGAAGAAGAAGGATTTTGTCTAGACTCTGCTGTTGCAGGACGATGTCTGGCAACATCGTATCTTTGTATTAGTACCATAAGATATGTAACTTTTTCATTTTTTGGCCGTCCATTATAAACAATTTCAATTACTGAACGTTTTTCTTCAATAGTAAAATCTGCCATACATTTTTTACCTTTATGTGTAACAAACTGTGCTCCTCGTTGTCTAGCTAATTTTCCCTTTCTTTTATGTGACATTTTTTGTTCAACGTTCGAATTTTCCCTTCACGTTCTCCCT